TTTGGGGCAACTACAGTCTGTAATGGTTTGGAAACCGATAACATTTCGGGAGCATAATGATTACCGTTCATCAAGCTGGGTGCCCAGTGACGATTACCGAACCGAGGTGGCTGAATTTATTGCAACAGTTGTCAAACGATCACCCTTGAAACAAGAAGCGGAGACGCAGGCTGTTTCCAAGTAGTCCGTCGCAATGAAACAACGCAGGTCTGTTCAAATGTTCCGGATGGATCAACATTTGTGGTCGATCAAAATTGTTCAGAAAACTCGGATTTTGGTCTTTCCGTTCAGTATCGTTTAAACATTTAGTGTACACAGAGGAAGGTTGATTCAATATTCGGATCTTTCGTTAGAATAAACAGCAAGAACTCATCAGCTGAAACCTTGAACAGGCTTTGAAAAACAGTTAGGAAGAAACGTTGCAGGATGATTGTAATCCGCATGTGAACGAATCGGTCATTGAAAGCGGCAAGTAGTGGTGTCAAAAAACACTGAAAAGCCTATTTGTCCATAAATTTTGTCCCAAAACCACTTACCTTGTTCAAGTCATCCACCACGGATAAAAGACCTTGAATGATTTTAGTAGCATTACGGCGAATAAGCAGAACGCATGGATTGCCGTCAGAAGCTGAAACAGACAAACCAACCAATAAGAGGCATTTAGTGCCTTTTCAATGCATTGAGGTAAGAATTCAAACATCAGGGCCCTCAATGACTCAATTGTTATTACGTCGCCATTTTGCCTTCGTCCAAAACTGACTATTGTAAAATAGAGTGTGATCTTTAAGGAGACTGGAGTTTTAAACGAACAAGTAACATCAATCTATGCTAAAGAGCCAAGAAACTGTTTACTTCTTGTTAGAAAACCTTAGAAGTCATGAGTCTCCAAGATTGTTCAAACCCGNGGAGACTGGAGTTTTAAACGAACAAGTAAAATCAATCTATGTTAAAGAGCCGAGAAACTGTTTACTTCTTGTTAGGAAACCTTAGAAGTCATGAGTCTCCAAGAATGTTGAAACCCGTGAGCAATAATCATCACAAACCTGCACGAATTTCGCTGGAGGCTAAGGAGTGTGCGTCCATGTGAAACGTAGGGGCAGCTAAATCGTTTGATCAGATGGAATTGAATGTTTCCAAAAGTCTGTTTGCAGGGACCTTCGCAACTGAGCAGAAGTGAGATGACGGCAGCGTTCAGCCAGGATTAGTAGAACATCGGAAGAAGCAAATTAGTTTAAGGCGTTTGAGAAATGCATCACGCGCGCTCCTTCGACGCCTAGCCGAGGAAGTACTGATTTGCACTTGAACTGTTGCTGATGAAAGGTTCTGACAGGCTGCGATTTCGATGGATATCCATCGATGAGTCTGGCCACCAATAAGTGAGTGTCATCTTTTCGATTAGACAAAATCACCAAGAGTGATGAGAGTGGGACGATAACTCTACTAATGAAGAACAGTAAGCTTTGACGATAAATCTATTGAACACTATGGTTCTAACGGACTAAGAAGTAAGAGGCCGACGTAGTGGCCTACTTCTGGAATAGTGCAGAACCTCTGGAAGAAGTGCAGAGCGAGTATCAATGACTGAGTGCAATCATATGGAGTGAGTGAAAAAGATGGTAGCCAAGAAGATGAAGTAATTATCTGCGAATGAGCATTATATGGTGAAGAGTTTGTATTCCACTATCTGACTATCATTGTGTGTCGCGGATACATCAAGTAATATGAACTACGCTAGGAGACGAATGGAACCCAAACGGTTTCCCGAAATTTGGCCTCGGAGGGCACTGGCTTTGCAAATAAAAACCAAACAGAACGACCGAAAATAGCTCACCTTTTTTAGGCGCATCCTCAGAACCGATCTTATCGAATGCGGCAACCACTACCTGACGGACGGCCTTATTTGTATCTTTCATTCGTTTCAGTATATGATCCAAAAGGAGATCCAGGTTGATCGGGTTAAGAGATGGTTCCGAACAGGCTGTGGGACCAAGCTCGTCGAAATGTGTTAAAATCTGGGTCGAAAATAGAGGCGAACCAAGTCGAGTCAAACAAACAGACAAATACCATACTAGCATCAAACTACATTATCGAAAATTCAGTCGAGGGTGTTTGGGTGAAATTAGGCAGCCTTCAAACATGATGTGTCGTTTATCGAAAAGGCAAGGTATACGGTAGCATTTCTATAAAAGTGATATCCAGTGAGCGCAAACAAGCGTCATTAGGATTACATCGCATTGCAATCATAAAGTGCCCCCCCCCCGAACCACTGGTTAACTAACCATAGGTCGAATGTACAATCTGAATCGCTGTAAACATGGTAGCAATGGGAACAGTGGTGCAATTGGAGGCCTGTTGGTAGCAGAATAAGCCGAATGAATGTACCTGTAATGCACTAGCTATAAGGTTGCTGAAACTTCGTCGACAGATCACGACCGGTTTCGCCCTTTTTAGGGCTCATCAGCTTGGTTCCAGGTAAGTCTCTCGAAAAACCAAATTAGTTTGCAAATGAGCGCGATTCGCCGAATGGATTCGCTGCTGTAGGGAGCATCGGATCAAACATGAATACCCAAACCGACGTCGACAGAAACGTTGATCGATAGAACAACAGTTAGTTATTCATGTCACAAAATGGGTCTTGTCCCCAGGTATTGGTCGAGTGGAACTGTGTTAAAACGGGTTGAGTTTCATTTGCCAACACAGGGAAAGCAGTAATGATAGCTTACAACCGAATACTTGGGAGCACATCATAATCAAAATCACGATAAACCCGAAAAAGAGGCAGAATTGGAGCAAACGAAGGAAAAGTGTTACTTACCGTCGTTAGCACCTTGGTGGAAATCAACCGCCGAACATCGTAGGTGGAGGTCACATGGTTGGAGAAGAATTGAATAAGACTAGAGGTGTATTCAGGTTGGAACTCTTGAACCACAAAGCTGAGGAAATATAAGGTAAAAAGGGAGGAAAACTACTATACCCAGTTCTTGATCGTCAGAAGTTGCGCCTAAGAGCATATCGAAGATTTGTCACAGACAAAAAACCGGCTACGGATGGTCAGAATGTAAGATATAAAAGTTGGAGAATAAGAGGTGAATAGTTTGAGTCAACGGAACTAAACATCTAGTGGCATTAGAAAAAACTGTTATCTTATTAGGTATAGTGACAATGGAACACCCGATACAAAAAGTTGAGTACACAAATAGTCTCTCCCAGGACTTGATTAGGATAAACTGGGTGAGTGCATCAAAACTAGTCCTGAAAACAAAAGGGCCTCTGTTGAAGTGAACATGTCGGGAACCTCGTTAAGATTTTACTTGATATGGTGCTTGTGGCAGCCTCGTCCCTCATGTTTGTGGTTTAGGTCGGTGTGTTGAACGGCCAATGACGAGACGCGTACTTATGATCTCGGAATAAAAATGTACCCAGGAAATGCCACAACAGCTATTCCATTGTGTTAAACGGCCACATCTCACCATTAAAGATGCCTGATGTAAGTAGAGTAACTGACTGAGAGCGGTTTCCTTTGGTTGTTCGACTTGTGGAATCCACTAGTTCGACTTTGTGTTAATCACCGACAAGACCACCGGTTGATGTATGCATAAAAATGTATACTAGAGTCCACCAAGCAGTGGCTCGGTACATGGTACACATAAAAGTTGGAGAATGGTGAGTGAATAGTTTGAGTCTGTTGAAGTGAACATGTCGGGAACCTCGTTAAGATTTTACTTGATATGGTGCTTGTGGCAGCCTCGTCCCTCATGTTTGTGGTTTAGGTCGGTGTGTTGAACGGCCAATGACGAGACGCGTACTTATGATCTCGGAATAAAAATGTACCCAGGAAATGCCACAACAGCTATTCCATTGTGTTAAACGGCCACATCTCACCATTAAAGATGCCTGATGTAAGTAGAGTAACTGACTGAGAGCGGTTTCCTTTGGTTGTTCGATTTGTGGAATCCACTAGTTCGACTTTGTGTTAATCACCGACAAGACCACCGGTTGATGTATGCATAAAAATGTATACTAGAGTCCACCAAGCAGTGGCTCGGTACATGGTACACAACCCGTTACATCAAAGCATGAAGCTAAGGGAT